CACATCCTTTTTGGAATAATTCTGGAGTGATGCTGTGACCTCAAAAGGGATACTCATCGAACGCTCGGGGCAGTTTTGGCTAGGTCCTGGATTTAGGCTGACATCTGTGAAAGCCAGGTAGAATTCCACACTGAATGTTTGAGAGGAGCTGCAAGGTTTGTGCTGCCCAAAATTAAGCTCATATAGCGAAGTTCTGGTACTGCCCTGTGTATTATGGCTTGTAAGATTATACTCAGAAAAGTCTTGCAGCTTTCTTCTACATTCCTCAGTGGAACTTTTCTATATTCAATTAGTGCTTTTAAGACATTTTAACAGAGAAGTTTAAGCAGGAGATGTGGAGTTTTTTCGTTTAATTTTCTGTGCTCCCTTTTCTCCTTCTATTTGTCTTCACCAGCAAGACTGATTAGGACAGGGACTGTATCATGCTGAGCAGTTGAACAGTGCCCACCATAACAGATCTTGACCTCTAAACCAACCTTTAAATGCAAAAGTTAAGCAGATAATAAATTGTATGAGTGATGGGACTTAGTCTAGTACTGTTGAAATATCTGTTCATCTAAGACTAAAAGAGATACTAATGTCAATGAGTTTAGATAAAATGGGAGAGTAAGTTCACTTTTGTCTTAGTTCCAGTGTTGTCTCCTCAGCTGTAATATAATGATTGCACTTTGGGAGTTTCACAGCAGTGTTACTTTTAATAAATAAACTATTACTTTAAAATGTCACCATACAGAACATGATGAGAATGCTAGCAGGTAGAGATGAATCTGTGACTTGAATGAAAATGAGCTTGTCATCTTAAAATAAAGCTAAGAAAATCCTAGCAGAGATCTGCCTTGGATCCTTACCAGGAGATGTAGCTGATTAATAAATAATCAAATAATATGGCTTTATTTATCTTTTAGGCATTTTTAAAAGCTATTGAAGACTTTCTGTTATTGCCCAACCAGGTCGATGTACCAGAGGTAAGACAAATGGGCTTGGATTTGTAGGTTACTTTGGTTGCATAATTTCATATGGATAGCAATGCAAATGGTTGCCTGCATTTTTCTTCATGTTAGGACTTTTTGACAGTATGACTTATTTCCTCATACGTCACTTTGATATTGGCAGTAAAGATCCACAGACAAAACAATTATAGTCGGGATCTGGGTGGCATCAATCTGTGTAACGTTTTATCCACTATATGTGGAAAAGTTTGTGGAAAAAGTCACGTTCGACTTTGAATGGTAGAATGATGAGTCACAAAGGAATTTAACATGGCACCCTGGCATTTTGTGCTATGAACTGCAATTTCTTTTGTTGTAGAGTCTTCTCTCTCTTCTTCCCTCAGACCGCTCACATGTTTGGAAGTTTAATTCAAACTATTGATAGTGTGATGGGTCGTATGACGTGCAATCTGGACGAAAACTCATTACCTTTAACTGTTGAGGGCACATCATCTGTGGCAGGTAGGATTTAGCAGAAACGTTCTTTTTTAACTGTCTGGATGTCCTAAATGCTTCTGTCCTTTAGCCTCTCCTTTGCCAACATGAAGGAGGAAATCAAAATACGTAATTTTCTCTTTTGAATATAAAACAGTGTTCCAATTGTAGAAAGATGACTGTGTAGTTAGTCCAGAGGTAATCAGCTTTGACTGTACTTGAACTTCCTTGAGGTTATTTAGGGAGGGGTTTAGAATATGAATTCTAAGAAATGAATCTAGTAATACCATAATATACTAATAGGCAATTCAAGGGCCTAGAGCTCTTATGTGGCACTTCAAATTTGCAGATGTCTGGATGCTACAAAAACCTTATTTTTTGCAAGGTTTTTGCAAGAGATTGCGAACAAGAGGAATAGTTTTGAGCTTTTAGGATAATTTAATTTTCCTGCTTTTTAGAATCTTAGCACCCTAATTTAATTTGTGTCTTTGGATGCTACAGGTGGCAAAGGTAATTTATCTGTTCTGGTGTTCTGCTCTGCCTTGTTGAGACCTGTGTGAGGGGCCAAATAACCTGAGCAGTCACCAGTAATGTTAATCATTGCACATACTCTCTTGGACATTGGCATTCTCAAATGGGACAGTGGAGATCTGAAATAATGCCTTCAAATGTCAGCAGAAGAGCATGTTATCAATCTGTTTTGCTTGCCCTGGTAAGCTCAGTGTTTCAGCGTGGGTGAAGTGATCCATGGTATATTAACAGCATGCGTACCGCCTTCTCTGTCGTAAAGGAGTCAGATATAAAAGGCAATTTTATACTCTGGAAATTTACTATATTTTCTGCAAACATCTGGGGTTTTAAATTAAAGACTTGCAATAGCTATTAGGGAATTCTAGTTAAATAATCGAGTAGGTTGTAGAAGTTATTGATTTTATCATATTTTTGTTTGGGTTATCGCACAGATTACACCTTGATCAAAATGTATCCTCAGACCCTGAATCTGTCCCACTATCAATTTCCATCTGGAGGACAGAATTATGTTTCCATTCCCTGTGAAGCTTTTCATGAGAAAGGTAAGGAAAAACTTAAAGGGAAGAGCAGAGTCATGTAAACAGGATATCAAGAAATGATCTTGCTTGAAAACAGGTTTTGGTTTGCTCTATTTTTCCAATAATTTCATAAATGATTTTTAATCATCTGAACTGGTTACTTTTAAGAAATTCCAGGTTGTCAGTCAGGTTTGCTTATCCTTTTGTGCAAAATCACTCTTAAAATGTTTGAAATTAAACTATAAACTGATAAGTTTAAGCAAGAGCAGCTGCAGAAACAGAATAAACATGTGAACTACAGTCAAGACAAAAAGGCACAACTCAGAAATCCATACCTAGGCTAAAATTTTAATAATCTCAAAAGCAAGGTATGGCAAAAATCTGAAGCTGTAGTCAAGACTCTAAAACAATGATGTTTGACGTTAATTATCTATGTTGTAATTGGGGATTGCAAGAACCTATTTACAAAAACATCTACCTGCATCCTCAAGTCTTTGAAAACCTGACTCATGTGCCCTAAATTCCAACTGCAGAATTTACACACTGCAGCCACCTCTATTGAAGGTTGGTCCCTGTGCATAAAGTGCAAAGTTAGCTGCAGATAACCTGCCATGAGATATTCTCTAATAATTACTGAACTGTGTGCCTGATTTGTGATGACAGCTTTGTTTCTTTGCACTGGCAGGGGGCTCTGGCTGGAGGCTTCACTGCTAGTGCTCTGGGGCTTGAATAACTATAATTGCAAGCCAACTTGTAATGCCAAAAATAGCATGTGAGAGGACTTTTTTTCCTTTCCCACTTATAAAGTTTCTCACCATGCTGATTTTTTTTTTTTTTCTTCAAAACATTATCATGCTTGGTATCCTGAAATGATCCAGCCCATTAAATGTTTAACTCTTTTTCCAGCTAAAGCTCACTTCTGAGCAATTTCAGCCGTTACGCTACACTTCTACACTGTCCAAATGAGCTAACCGAAGAATTTATTATTCCACCTTAAGCAGTTGACACTATAAATACTTGGAACCCAGCAAAAGGGATAGTAAAAAACATCTGTGTGGCTGACACTTAGAAAATATGCGTCTGTCTCTTCATTCAGGTGCTGGAGAACCCATAAATATTTGGAATGCAGGCAGCAGACAAGCAAAGTGGAAATTGGTTGCCTGTGTTTGAGGTTCATAAACTGCCAGTTAATGTAGGTGGTGGTGAAGTAGCCTTGAGATTACTGTAGCTACCATTGAGACACTGACTCTGGTATATCATGCGACCCTTTCTAGTGCTATGTGGGGGATTTATAACTGACAACAGATTAACAACTTATTTTGGAAGTACAGTTGCACAGGGCAGACTTATTATTTTACTTTTAATATCTGTCTTCTGTGTCATACTGCAAGATGTTCATGCTTTTTCACTTACTTAGCATAGGCAGAAATCTACTAAAGCAAAGGTATGAAAGTCTACAGAAGTCAAGGCTCTTAATTAACATGGAGTTTCAGGTCTAGGAGAGAAGTCTCTTTCTTAAAACTGTTGCTCTGAGGAATAACCCCTGTTCCCTTTTCACAGCTTGGGTTGCCATTGTCGGCCTGCTTTACCGTAACATGCATTATTTCTTTCATAATATCGACCCTATGGATACCAAGTAAGTATCTCAGACTTCTCATGCTGTAACAGCTTGTTTATTACCTTAGTGGTATACCTTTATAACAGTCATGTCATTATCAACTGTAAATAAATTACGAGCCATAATCCTGATTCTGCAATATTGAGGACACTTAATCATTAACTAGAGAGAGATTAAAGCTTACATGAGATATTTTATTTTATGTTGTAGTAAAATACATTCCCGTAGCGACATGTTTGTCTTTTTGTCTTCCCCTTCCATTCATCAGATCTGATATTAGAATTTCATAATTTTAACCTGTCTCATAAAAGGAAATTACATCTTTTCTCCTGACATATATAAAGATAAAGCTTGCATTTAAATGGAACGAGTGAAAAAACATCACATCCCTCTTTAGATAAAATCTGAATCCTAATCCTAGAAACCTGTAAGGTAACAGGAGACCAGGCAATGCTTTAAAGACTTGTTGTTTTATATGCTGCATTAATGAAATCATTAGCAGATAAGATAAAGTAAATAAATGCAGAGCTGTATACCTCTCAGCAATACAGTTCCCCAGGGAATGTTGCAAGGTCATTCATGTAAATCATTACGCTTTCCTTTTAAGCTACTATGACTTTTGTTTTTTGATCTTCACTAGGGTACATAGATGAGTTTACACTTTCTCTCAGTCTTTTCCCATCTGTGACTTTTCACGGTGTTGTTTATGACAGCAGAAGGAAAGATGCAGCATCTCATCTGCCGTGAATGGCAGAGATTACCTTCCTTCCTTTACGTGCAGTTACACCGAAGGTTGTGATCACGGAAACTCATTTGTGAACTTCAGGGTAAAGAATCCTGGCTTATGACCAGGCTGATCACGCAGCTATTACTAAATAGCATTTTTAAACCAAGTAGCAAGCTGGACTACTGTTTACCTTGCACTCTCAAAAAAAGAGCACTTAGCAGGTGGCTGTAAAGGAACCACATAATTAGTGTGCGATATTTTAGTGACGTGAAGGAACAGAGACAATTTATGACAGCTTCTATTTTTCAAACAGGAGCATCAGTGAAATTTAGTAAGATAATAAGCTATAATCTCAACTCATCAAAGAGAGCAAGGGAAATAATATTGTCTTGACTTAGGTCCAAGTTGACCTAAGTCATATATGATTAAAGATGATGCGTGTCAAAGCACTGTAGTCTAATGTATTGTCATGAAGTCTACAGCTCCTAGGCTCTGATATAGCAAATTAGTTATGTCATATTTGTATACATTCTCTGCATTTTGTGGAATAGGAAAACCTGGAGACCTGTTCCACTGAGTTGTATATATTTTTTAGCACTCATTTTTTGAGAAGAAAGGATCTGGCCCTGCTGCAATGTTAATGAGAAACACAAATACACTGGAGAAGAAACATCTCCTAGATTTCTATAATTAATCCAAACTACTTGAACTGTTTGCAGTATGTAATGCACTACAGAGCACATGTGTAAAATTCTAGATGTAGATCTGTCCAAAACAACATACAAAAAACTAGTAATGCAGGGAATGCTAGCTTAACGATTTTCCTCTGTGGAATCAAAATGTAGGTATTCAAAAAATGTTTAAAAATAAGTATGCACTTCTATTCTGCTTGGCTTTCTTTTTTTGTACTGCACTATTATAACTTTTTTGCTTACATTTCAGTAGAATAACAGTAATTTCCTGGAGTAGTTTTTTTAAAGAGTTTCTTTTATGTTCCTTCTAGCACTGGGCTACTTGAACACCTGTAATTTGAAGCCTGTCCTTTCTTCTTTAAGGCTTTTTTTTTTTCCTTTTGTGGTGGAAAGCTAAAACCAAAACTCTTGGAGCTTTTGCGCTGCCCAGGCAGAAGACCTCTATTTCCAGACTGCATAAATAGCAGTTTCTAAAGGGAGTCAGTTTTGATTCTTTAAAAAAAAAAATTAAAAAAACCCCAAACAAACAAAAAAAAACGTTGAGCCCAGTTCTGCTCCTGCTCATATACCGTTTGCGTAAATCTGGAGTAATCCCACTGAAGGTGTTTGGATGACACCCACTGCCATCTAACATCCAGGGCCATAGTGAAAAAAGTCTTGCATATGCAAGGACAAAATGCAGAAATCCTGTTTCTTGCTTATGCTGAAGTCTTTTCCTGATTAAAAATTCATCTAGCTCTCTAAAGTTAAAATGACAGGTAATGGGTGTGGAAAAAATGTCCATCCTATTAATTTGGGTAGGAGAAATCACAAAAGGTCGGATAGTGGTCTTAACGTTACAAGTCCTTCTCTAAACTTAAACTTTTCATATCAGAGTAGCAAATTCTGCCCTCAGCTGAACAAATTCAATTCACGTGCTGGTTACTGGTAGCAGAAGCAATCTCTGATACCAATGTTTTTTTTTTGTGGTTAGAACTAAGGAGTGGTGCTTGGGGTTGTGCTAAATGAGTTCTGGCTTATTTGACCTTGCTGAGGAACTGCATGAAGTTATTTAATGTCTCACATGACTTTTTCTTTTTTTTCTTCTGAAATTAAAATAAGAAACCATTGCAAACAGGTGGCAGATGTAAATAAGGTGGGTTTTAATGTGCTTTGCACACTGGTTCTTTCCAGTGCTGTGCTATGTATGGAAACCCATGCTTATGGTTAATTTGCATGGCTCATATTCCGTATGGTAAATACCATTCATTCATATACTGAAAAGGTAGATGAAAGAGACCATTTTATTCCTACAGAGTTTGTTACTGATAGTGTAAAAAATTTTACCCTACAGCCAAATGCATCTTAGTTACTCCTAAGAGTGCGAAAATGCCAAAGTCATAAGTTTTAGCTGAAAGCAGAAATAAAAGGGTTCTTATGTACTGCAAAATTACTTTAGCCTAGAAAAAAAGTATTACCTGGGCTAATCAGATGTTTAGTCAGGTTCAACTTACTCTCTAACAAACCTAACTGGACATAATCAATTTTTCAAAGTAAAGCTATAAATTACTTCTAAATATATGCTTATGTATATGTTTATATGCATTACATATAATGTGTCTCACTAATATGTATATTAATTAGCCTGAAATCCCCTCGATTTTCCTCCTCACTTAGGTTGCTTTGTTTAGATTATTTTTAGATCCGTTACTTCATAGGACTCAGCAAGGCTTGTGAACTTTTGCAAAAGAGGAGCAGAATGAAGAAATACTTATAATCAAGTCTCCTAATGTCCAAAGCCATTCCCTAAACTTTGTAGCTGTTGCTTCTAGTCCTGTAGGATCTTTTGGGGCCAGATCTTCCTCCCCTATAGAAATTCATTGACTTGACTGAAAAAAGAAGGTTCTATGTTCCTGTTGTTTTGGGTGTTGTGGATGAACTAAATAAATCTTGTTTTTCTGCTTCCTTAATATATTTGTTTCTTTCCAAGGATTGCTGAAGCCGCTGCCTACAAAGGTTATATGATATCAGCAGCCAGTTATCTTATCTCTATCAAAGTGGAACCTCTACCGAAGTTGTCCCACAATCTGTCAGGATCTCCTCTTATTACCATCCAGCTCACCCACCAACTGGTAAGTGAGATGGAATCTACCAGTTTAGGCTATTGTCAGGGCTGTTTAAAACTTCAGTGGCTGTGATGACTTTTTTGTATTTATCTTGTAATTTTTGTGGGCATTTTCAGTAGCAATTCAGATGGCATTTATGACTACAATATCGTGTTTTTTCAACTGTTACACTTGAATGACTTCTGTTTCCTTCACTGCAAAAGTCTGATTAGTGCATATGTTGAAAAAGAAGGTGAAGTGACAAGTATGACTTTAGGCCTTTATGTATTGTTCTATGGATATGTTTGGTGTGAATTACTGCTTTCTCATTAGAGCTTAGAATCATCAAACAAGAATTCGCTTAGGTTTTTGCTTTTGGTCTTAATCCACACTGAGATAATAACTGAGGTGTTTTGAACGTTCTCATGAATAAACCCAGAGAAGGAACTCTGTGGGCAGATAGAAGTAAGATGGGCAGAGGATCCCATAGGATAGGAATGGAGCAGGTTCAAATCCCTGTTCTAGTGTGAACTGCTTTTTCTCAGTCTGAATTTGAGAAACAGAAGACAAGAAATACGAGAGTCTGAGAAAACTCAGAGACAAGTTTGAATAAAACTGACCAATTTTGGTAAGACTGATTTCACCCAATTAGTATATTCCAGCTAGGAACTGGAAAAATAGCTGATTTTGTTTGCTCTTGGAGGAAAAGGCATCTCTTTGTCTTATCAGTGGAATGGAGAATAGTTGAGTTCAAACTCTGAGGTGCTGACATGAGGCATGCAGCATCCATGACCTACGTAGTGTTGCATGGAAATGGAAGAGAAAGAGTTGAATTCTTAAATGTTTCCTAGAAAACATCTCTTATGTGTTCTGAATATTTTACCTTATTTTTCTTTCAACGTCTGTTTTCAGTTTATCTTCTTCCTGTTGGGCTTCTGATAGAGATGGAGTAGGCTACAGTAAGCAAATCTATGAAAAAACCCTAAGGCATAGAAATGAAAAATGTTGTTTTGCTGAGTGTTTCAAACTAAGGACTCTTCTGAATGTCCCTAGTGGCATCTTAGAGGCGAGCACTTGCAAAATGAAGACTGTAGTTTGCACAGATCACTTATAAAATGTATTTTGCTTTATTTATTCTGGTACCTCTTCATGCTTTAGTATGATGATTTCCTAGCAGACTCTTAAACAAACCTGTGGTGATTTTTCTTTATGCCTGTTGATTTTTACTGTGATTATGACTGGGGTCTTGATGTACAGATAGACATTTTACATTTATCATCTGTCCCTTTCTCTGTTTTAGTCAGCAGAATCCATGAGAATGTGGTGTGAACGTGTCTGTCTAATGAATGTTGTATATAACAAACACAGGTTGATTGGGATTTTCAGACAATATCTAGAGCAGGGTGTGCTTTTTATATTGTGCATTAGGGGAGTGGCTGGTTTCTCTTCCAGAGCTCTTGTTTCTAATTGGCAAGGCATCCACAAGCAGCCATCTATTATCTACCATAATATTTCTACAGCTGTTTCTATTTTGGGGAACATTCAGGTCTTCCTAATCATGCTAATACCTGTTCAGATGTGACTTGGTTGTGGTTTGTGGTGTTTTTTTTCATGCTCGTGCTTGGTGTGTCTTTGATTTTTTTTTTTTCTAAATTTAATTTTATTTTATTTTTAAAAATCCATGTGGGAAATGGGGAAACTTAGCCCATTGTGAATTAGAAACTGGTCTTACGCTAGTCTAAATATCCATTTCTGCCGTGTTTTTCAAATCAAAACTAAATGCAACTGTGGGAGATGTTTTCTATGCTTGTTCCAGAACTTAATTTCCGTATTACCTGATGGCGAAACACTTTGTATAGCTCCTAGAGTGGTTTCAAAAATTGCTTCTAAAATTCCAAATCAGATTTAAAAAAATCCAAATGCTAAAAACTTTAAAATACCAAAACATTCTGAAATCATCAAATGTGTCAAAACAGAAAATGTTTTGACATCATAAAATATTTTTTAAATTATTTTTTGCCATATTTCATTTACATTGTTTTCCCAGTGGAAGGATGTAATCTAGCATCAGAATAGGTGTTTAAAAGGAGAACTAGGCAGAAAAATTTGTAAAGAGAATTAATAAAGCTATAATTTGAGATCTGGGCAATGGGAACGCATCTAGTTATCTGTTCTACCTTTCTTGTCTCACGAGAAGATTAGATGCAAATTGGGAATTCTTAATATAGCTGGTTTCCCCAAAAATATATTTAATGCAAGTGCCACTTTAAAGATTTGTTTGATTCCAGGGAAACAATGTGCTTTATTAAGGTACTACCAAGTTAGGACTAATTTAGCATTATTCCATCTCATTCCTTTGCTCCATGTGGTTCTTTTTAACAAGTGTAGTGGTTGGGGAGTTGTCTGCCTGACCATGAAGTGTTAATCTTTCCAAACTGAATTGTTTGAACAGCTGCTTCTCTCCTCCTTTTTTGACCAACGGGTCCCTTGATCATTTCTCTGCTTCTGCTCTTTTACTGACTGCAATGAATGCTTCCCATCAGAACCCCACGGTGACCTGCTTCCTCTACGCTCCTCGTCAATGAAGCTTTGTCAGCTTCTCCTGTTAATCCCATCTCATATTCTGTTACATGACTTTCTTAAATCTCCAGAACCAGGAGTTGTATGAGAGCATCAGCATTCATTACTGTAAGTGCAGCCTGTGTGTCCGGAAGTGCTCTCTTGGGGTGATCCTTTGGAGATGGTAAAGTGCAGGGAAAAGATAGACTTCCTATTCTGTTAACTGTGCTCCCAATAAAAAAAAAGCGCTGGTAGTGCTGCAGTTCAGGGAGATAGAGACAAGGTTAAGGACCGTTTTCACTGAGCTTTTAACGAAGCAATGGGACTTTTGCTTCTGAAAGGTACCCAAAAATCATCCTTCTCTTTGTTGTCTTTTGCCTGGCCAGCAATGTGCCATATCTTGAGGTTTGTTTGAGGTTTAACATTATTACTGATAGGAAAATAAAATGAGAGGAGAACTGGTTCCCATTTGTACACAAATATCAGTGCTACCATGAGAGAGGCAAATCAATGAGGAGCCAATTTATTTTTATGGCAACTTAAGTGTTGACTAATTTATATATCGATTGAGGAAAAACAATGACTTTTGCCCACATCTGCAGAACAAAGGTATAATTTTTACTGGATGGACTTTGCCAGAAAAACTTGAATAAAACACAATTAAGACCGTGACTCTTACAGAGCATATCGCAATTAAGCCAAGAGAAAAAATAATAATGAAGCTTGTAAATTAAAAATCAATGCAAAGTTTGGCACTTTGCTATGCAAGTTAAATCCTTGCTATAAAGAATACAGAAAATCCATTGAGTTCAAATAAGAAATGAACATAGTTGCCTAGGAGCAAGAAAATTAGCTGCAGCCTTAAAATACCAGTAGTCATTATGATGATACACAGCATCTCTTAACAATACAGCAATAGTTTTGTATTGTTAATATTGTTAACAGAAACATCTCAGGACTTATTTTCTCATAGGAGTCCATTCTAGAAGCCTACAAAGGTGCAGTAACAAAAAATATAGATTTTCATTAGACACGTTGAAGAGTGCCTGTTGTAAGAATCAGGATTACATTGTAATAAGATGTAATTCATAGTGGGATTCATTTCCATGTCAGAATAGACCTAAGCCTTTGAAAGCACAATACTTTCCTTGTGTTATCACTCATTTGTTGTGAAACAAGTCCTCAGTATTTCTTTGTAAATGGCTCCTTTGCCTTTGAGGTGGCTATTAACAGGAGTGAGGGCATCATGAAATGATTTAATATTTTTGGAAGTGTGCAAGTAAAGTTTGCTTTCAATTTTAAGTTTAGTTGCTGACTTTTATTCTTGGAGTATGTGGGTAATTTTGTATGTTATCTTCCACTTAGTAGCTACAAAATTACCTCTTGCCTGAAGAAAATAACCACTGGAGAGTGGAAGCAAGTTTTATCAATCTACAGGAAAAAGCATCTGCTTTTTCTCTTTCAAATTTCTGCTTGCGAGTGGCAGTGTATAAGCAGTTGGAGGTCAGTCAATACCAAGCAATAAACTTTGAAAAATCGTGCTGACTTATAAACCCAGAACTGAATTCCACAGTTATCCTATTTTACACAACTCTGGCATCTTGTGCTACTTCACACTCTGCCTTTGATTGAACATTTGTCACAGGAGGAGAAGAGAAAATTATGGGCTTTATATTTGACGTGATAAAGTCTGGTCCAGTGATGTAGAGTTCTGTCCCAGCTGCGAACACAATTTTTATAATTCAATTTAGTTCCTCTTGTTCAAGTTCCTCATCAGAGACTACATCCTCAAAGCATCCTTGCATGGGGAGACAGCTTATTGCAGGAGTTCCAGCTAGTTGTGCTACGTTTAATGAACTGTCAGAGTTTCTGCTATAAAACACTGTATTTCTGTGCACAATGTTAATACAGATATATACATGTTTAAATGCTATGGAAAAAAAAGTCACTGCAGAAGTGAAGTAGCTGACATTCAGATGTTTATAACTCTGATGTTTAAAAATATAAACAGAAAAGTAAGAATAAAATAACATTAGTCACTAATTCCTGCTGTGAGCACAGATCCTGTAAAAATCTCTCTGGATGAGGTCAAGCTGTTTTGAAGTGGCAGAAGTAAACTGTAGCATTTGAAGTTATAAAAAGCTGGATTTAGACTCAAAATGCCCAAATTATCTTTTTTTTTCCTAAAAGTCAGAATTAGTTTTGCTGATTGAGAATTTCAAATTCACTAGATTCAGTCACTTGGAGAGAGTGTATTTCCAAAACTGTTTTGTAGAGATATATTAAATATAAAGACTAAAATTCTGCTTTAATCCATGGTAGAACTGCTGCCTCCCATGGCGCCAAGCTTTCAGTCCTCACTCTAACGGTAACCTAATGTTGCTTGCAGACTGGTACAACTCCATTCTTCATTATTCATAACAATTTGAAGAGAAAACGGAATCAAGTCCAAAGACTAAAAATGAAGA